TTTAAATTGAAGGACATTCATTTAAACATTCTACCTTTTCACTTAACAAGCTGAAAGGTTTGGGAATTATCTTAATTGCTGCAGTGGAATTTTAATGTCTTTTTCTATGGTAGTGCTTTATTTTTGTTTCGATATCCGCACTCCATGTATTATTGATATGAGGCAAACGCCATATCGGTGGTCAGTATGGTTATGTATGGAGGTCCCAAAAGTCAGTCAATATTTAAATCCAAAAGAAAACAGTATTTCCTGTGCATATTATTATTTTTTTGTTAAATCTTGAAGTATACAGTATAAACACAGGCGAATGGCCTTATTAACTTTGCTGGCACATACGCACGCTTTTGTTAAAAGTCTTGATTTCTATTTTGCAAACATGCGGCTGAATTTCGTTGACGCAGCTCTAAATTTACTTGTTCAACGCACCAGTGTTTGTGGGCTTGTTACCATGAGTTCAAATAATCCCAAAAAGGTCGATGAGGTCATCTTGCAGATTGCACACATAACATTATCGCATAGCACATCTAGCCTTATGTGTCCTCCAATTTGCGGAATGAGATCTATATAGTCCCAAACGGACGGGTGTGATTCACTGTCCGCAGTAGTCGATTCTACTGGTAGGTGGCGCTTCGCGTTGCCTTATTTTGATAGACCTTACACTTTTGATAGTGTATGTGTCTATGTTTTTCTGTTCTCCGAGAGACCTAGCCTAGACCATGCTGATGAGTAGACAAAAAGCACAAAACAGCTGTCCATGGTTGGCTGTCTTCAGTCGGACGGACAAAAGCAGTATGTTCTATCACAAATGGAGCAACTTCACAGCTAGAATCGTCACCATCTAGAGGTCACGTGGCGGTTGGGCCTTCAATCTACGGGCTGAGATCGATGCAGTTGTTCACAGTGGTCTATTCTAGTGGTAGTTGGTGCTTTGTGCTGTCTTATTTCATTAAAAAAAAGCTTATTAGAACCACAAATGGTAATCCAGGAGGCCCGATATAAAACCCTAAGCATTTTATTTTGGGACTTGATATCTTTTGATGTATTTTTATCATTCCATTTTGCTTAAATTTCCAGCCTCCATCTGTGGACCCAATAAAACAAAATTCAACAATTCCGAATTTAACGAAAATTTGGTATTTTAAAAAAAGTAACACCGTGTCTTGGGAAAAACACAGCTTATGGAACCTTTTCATCTCAGAATCAAACAGGGAGTCACCCTCTTTAATAATCTGTAATACTTCCAAGAAGGGCCGTCGAATCTACCGTTTTTACGGCAGATCCACCGTATTGAGCCTTCGGCCACCGTCCTAACCTATAACGGCTAACTGCTACCGCTATTTACTGGACTTATATGATAGATGTCCAGGCCTAGCTTTTTTTGTCAGAAAGCATTTTTGATCTAACAGCATTGCTTCCAAATGCCTTCAAAAGGTTACTGCGTAGCAGAAACAAAAAGTTAATCCTTTCCATATTACTTGATATTACTCCTAGCGCGCATTGAAAAGGTGGTATAAACCGGATTACACGAGTTTCGTTACTGAAAGGGAGGAGTAGGTCTCCGTGTGATTAAATCTTTCGTGTAGAAAAGCATCGTCCTCATTGTGGATGGCAGAGATCTGGTTGGCAGCCAAAGAAACAAAGCGTCTCTCAAAAGACGTCCATCGATTTTGTGATCTCAAATGGCTCACGGTCCAAGTAACACGTAGGTCACCAGCCAGAGTCGACGAAGCCGTGCCATTTTCTTTTTCGGGCTTTTTATGTTGCCAAACTCCAATTACCTGTTAGGCCAGACAATGCAGGAACATCGCAGTCACCACGACTGGTTGTGCTCTATTAAAGATGCCTTATTGCCAAATGCATATTAACTGTTTCACTCAAGGTTTTTTCTTCTAAGGACACATTACAGTGTTGACAGATGGAAATGACAGAAATGACATCAAAAGATGGCTGTCTTAAGAACCCCTTATTAACTTTACTTATAATTTGGAAAAAGCAGGTTGTCAATTATTAATTCAATGGTTGATGCAGAATGTGTTTCCATAGGCGTGATAATCAAAATAAATCGGACGGGCATATCTTGAAAAAGTTAGTGAAAAAAGGAAGCCTTAAAGTTACTATAATGACTATGCCAGCTAATGGCTTAGGTTCTAACCTTGTTATCTGTCAAAACAATTGAGCAGTGGCGACCCGTGACTGTTCCTAAAGTGTTACCAAAACCAGATATGAAATATCTTATTTAAAAAAGTTTATTTTGAACCTCCCAAATATAAGTTTTTGCTTATCTTAGGTATTTTATTTAAACTATTTTTAAATTAAGGTAAACATTCCTGGACTGAGCGTCTGGGGCATTTAATATACCTCATGCTATGACTAATACAAGCCGTCCGAAAAAACATCTTTTTGGCAATGAACGTTAAAAATTCCCTGTAATTTCCTCTATTGCCAGAGTCATCCCCTTCAAAATGAACGATAATTCCTGTTTTGAAAAAAAAGAAAACATACGGTATCTAGAAGTGTGCTGCCTAAAAGCTTGGTTAAGACAACTTTCGATTCTTGTTCTGCCAAACTGAATTAAATTGACTACACATCTCACATGTAAAGGAGAAATTTCATGTCTCCTCTTTAGAGCCCTAAAACTATTTAAATTGTTGACTCCGCTGGTTGTCCACCCATTTTTTCGTTTCCATATACCAACTTAATTTAAAATATCAAACTACGTTTTTTTATTCCTTTTTCAAATTACCTAAAATAGGTGTTGGTCTTCCATCTTCAATGATCTTTTTTTTTTCTTAAAAATTATACAAGGAGAAATTATACGCAGCTACACTCATCCATGTTTAATTGCACGCACACTACAGCCGGTAATCAAAACGGCTACTAACGAGTGAGAAGTGAGTAACCAAATCAAAAAATGGTAACAAGCCCACATAATAGTCGCAGCACCCCACGCACTCGGGAGACCGCGATCAGACACGAGCCGGTCCCGACGGTCCCCGACAGACTACCAAGTGTATCCATAAGTGAAAATGGTAACAACAGACAACTAAGTCGAGGTGAGTCAGCTTCATCGCCTTCGCAAAACTAGACAGTATAGGGCGCATTATTTTCGTAGGGCTAATTTGCTATCTACTGAATTACTATTACATATTGCTGTTGGTAAACAAATAAATGAAATTATTTCACAGTACTTAGTCATAAAATATTTATTTTTAAGATTTTTAACTGTTACCAATGGTAACAATGGTTACATGGACGCTTCGCCACTGCAATTGAGGCATCCTCAGAATCCGAGAGCCGTGACTGAGCTAAGCGACTATACATTCGGTCGTTTGTGTTAATGTAATAAAGGCACTGGACAAGTTTGTAACGGCGGTGCCTTCATTGGAAAAACATCCTAACATGCTAAGACTGTTTTTACTGGATTTAATGGTTTCCGCATTTGTACATTTGAATGCAAAAATGGCACTAAGCCCCAGCTTTTCAATTCCATATTAAATATTACTTTGCTCTTAACTTTTGTTGAATTTTAAAAAGCATTTTTCAGTGTAAGGATTTTCTGGAGATGAAAATATTACTTAACTCCAAATCCATCGATGGAACTTAGCTCTCAAAGAGCATTTTTCAATATTGGATCTGTCCTAGAAAATCAGTTAGCTTCAACCAGAAGGCCATGTCTGGGTTAACTACAAAGTTCTAGCTTTAAGCGAAATGCATGATAGTGATATGATACACAAACATCTAGCATCAATAGCGTGTAGGTTATTTTCTCGCCAACGTTTTTTTCTTATTTTTTTTCTAATCTATTCTTGTCACTGTCAGTGTGACAACCAACTTGACATGGGCGTACCATTTTGAGTTTACATTTTATTTTATTGGTTTTCGTAATTGAAACATAGCAGTATCTAAAAATACAACTGTCGGACTCGATAGCTTTTGCCAAAATTAATATTTTGGAGAAGCGAATGAAAGCAATGGTCCTTTATCAATCAATTCATGGAAGAGCAGCTGCGTCGGGTTCAATGTGTACGAGAGAGAAGCGCGAGAAGTGTGTGTATTCTACAATAGGTTACTGTCAAACCCAGGAAGGAGGTTTGTTCGGACATTTAATTTAATATTTTGTTTTCATTTTGATTAGAATTGTTTATTTCAATTTTGATGCCTTAGTGATTTAATTTATTATATAATAATCTTTGATTTCCACCGACGGTGTTGAAATCAACACATCCTGGGTTATTATTACATTTTGTGACAGCAAGTGGGTGATAAATATAACAGAGATACCATCACGAAATACAAATTTTATCACTTCCTGTGTGTTCGCAGGTGAAAACCATTTCGAAACAGGACGAACCACGCCAATGAGCGCTAAACAGGTACTGACCAAAATCGCTCATCTATGATCATGAAGGGGGAAACCTTGCCTTGGAATGGGCGAATTGAGGTGTTGCCAAGCGAATCAGTGATGCATACTGGCAGGATTTGTCGCGAACCTGACATTTCACTTCGACCTAAAATGGAACGCTGTTGGGATTGGTCCGAAATCGAGCTTAAGCAGGTTCGACACAACTAAAAGATGTAGACGCTTAAATTAAAATCATTATTTGGGCGTAGAGAAAAAACACGTATTTTCAATTACATCTTAATTCAGGGAACTGGTGTAACATAATGGCAACGCGGCAGATTGCCATGTCATCGTCGCTAGTCAACGCAGTGAAGAGCTTCGCTATCCAGACGGCTTCTAACTCTTTCAAACATAGTTACAGGGTTGCCAGACCTATTTCTATAAGTCCCCCAGCCTAAATAACAAATTCCCCCAAAAAGCACATCTTTAAAAAAAATCTCCCAAAACTTTCAAAGATATTTATTTATAATAATAATTATACTTTGCAGGTTGGCTAAGATTGTCTTATGAGTATGGTATTTATGGTAATAACACTAATAACTAATAACAAGTAACATAAATATATATTTTTTTACTATCATAATATACGAGTAGTATGCTACAGCTCCGAGAATGCATTTAAAACTTCTTCCTCCTCCTTTTTGCAATCATACATTCTTTCAGAATTGAAATATTGCAACATATTTTCAGTTGGTTGAAAATCTGTACAACCATTTTTTAAATTGCACAGATACCATCGAACTCTCATGATAGCATCTGTACTATGAATCGCCAAGCGATTTCTAAGTTTGTTTTTTACCACATTTATAATGGAAAAAGCTCTCTCAACTGAAGCATTAGAAAATGGAAGGCTGAGTAACGCAAGAGCTAATGATGAAATATTTTTATATCTAGGTTCCCCTGCTGCATCGACGTTATTTGCCACCTCAACCCAAAACTTTTCTGTATCAGGCAGGTTTATCCAATTTATTCGAGGAAGTGATTTCCATTCTGCAATTGTACTATCAAGGTCAGGACATATTGTTGAGAAAGATAAAGCAATATTAGTTATTTCAGGTTGACGTATCTTGGACGTAGCTAATTCGGGGTTAAATGAATTTATTTTCTCCAAAATATTCATACTTTCAGGGATTCTCATTTGAATTTGTCGACATAATTCCACTAAAAAATCTTTACATCTAGTTCGCACCATTAGTAGTTCATCTTGTTTAATTGCTAAGGATGACGCTTTTGAATTGAACGAATATCCTAAATTTATCAATTCTATATCCATAATGTAATCTTCAAATTTGAAATCAACGACGTTATTTTTTGAAATTTTTTGAAGTCTCATAGGTGGTACTAAAATACTTAGGTTATTGAAAAGTAATAAATTCAAATCTTCCATTAATTTCAGTGGATCTGCACACTCTGACTGAAACAGTTTATTAACTCTAATTATTTCTTTCAATGTCCAACTCAAAAAGGTGAAATATAATACATTAGTTTGGTCCGATAACATTTGAAACAGCTGTTCAGCCATATAACACCTTTCATTATCTTTTACTATACCAAAGTGTATTTTTAATGCATCCCATTGTTCTAGAATTTTAACTATCGCATTGTATCTGGCTAGCCATCTGGTTCCTGATAGTTGGTCAATTTTTAGTGGTTTTTGATCCGTCAGTGTTTCAAATATTTGTTTGTATGCTATTTGCCTTTTTGTACTACAAGAGAACCAATTGTGGCATTCCTTGATTATAAAGTCCAAATGACGAGGTAGAAGTTTAAATGCATACTCTGCTGCCAAATGCAGAGAATGACAGACGCACTTAATAATAACAAGTTCATTATTCTTTGCTTTCAAAAAAGAAGCTACTGAATTATGCGCTCCAACCATAACATTGGCTCCATCAACACCGATTCCTATTAGATTCCCTAATTTTAAACCGTCTAGCTCCAGTTGTTTTGTCACCGCAGCCGAGATAGTTATGGCATCTCCCTTTTCAATTTCGATAAGTTTGTAGAAAGTCGTAACAATCTTAGTTTGCTTTTTACTAAAATATTTTATCATAACGCATAGCATTTTTGTGGAATCGACTGCAGTGCTCTCATCTATAATCAATGAATATTTACTATCTGCAACATCCAAAAGTAAGTCATTTAGTATTGAAGGAGCCAACACATTCAATATTAAAGATGTACATTTAGTTCTGTGTAATTTAACGTCATTTAATATTTCAGATGATTTATCTAAATTTTTTAAAAGTGATCCAAGATGATCAATTGTTGCAAGTGAGCAGTGCTCACATATGAATGCAGCAATTTTTAATTCTGCTATTTTCCTGCTGGCGGTCATACCTTTTTTCATAAACTCAGTAATTTTTTTACTCGGGCCAGCCAAAGATCTTTTCTCCGCCTCTTGATGTTTCTTACTTTTACCGTGAAGCAGTAAGTCTTTTTTATGTGCAGCTAAAGTACATTTACATATCTTACAAAGCGACTTTGTCTCATCTGCTAATACAGGACCAATCCATCCTATATGGAATGAATAATTATAATTAATAACCCACACCATCAAAATTTCAATAGATTACCTTTAAGTTCAGCATCGGATTCCCAAGCAACTCGGTATTTTCGGGTATATAACGACTCCTTTTCTTTAGGCATATTTAGATTGACACGTACAACACTAATTTGGATAAACCATGCGTATTGAACACTCCAAAGTAAAAGAAATATAGCCTATAAAGTTAATGATAGGAAAGGAAATAAAGTTACACGATTCTCTGGGTTTCACATAGATGAGAAACACTTATTTAATCGCGCCGTCTAACGCACAAAAACAAAATAATATTTTGCCGCTATTGAAGGAAACTGTAATGTAGGTGCTTCAGAATAATTTTAATAGTTGTTGAAAGATGGCAGGATTATCTGTAAATGAATTTATATTTATTCAAAGTTGTTCTCGAATTCCAATAATTCAATTGAAACTTGAAAATTGGTCGGACGACAGAATGTCTTCTTAAAATCGCACCCCAAAAAAACCCCAAAACGGAATAATTTTCCCCCAAAAAATCCCCCACGCATTGTATACCCCCAAAAATTCCCCCAAGCAATGAAAAATACCCCAAATTTGGGGGAAAATCCCCCAATCTGGTAACCCTGCATAGTTAATACCTTTGATCCTAAATTTGCTCCCAAAACAACTTTCATGTCGTGTCGCGTGCAGTAATCTGTCAATGAGGCATATTTTTCGTTTCTTTGTCCTTTTCAGTGGTACTATGATGAATCGTCGACAAAAAATAACAGTAAACCACGAGCAGACAGCACGGCTGCATTCAAAGATGGAAATATCGAAGCAGAAGACAGTAGACAACACCAGCACGAATTGCTTCAAGTTCTGTATGTTTCTACACTGAGTGAAAAACTAGTTCAAAATGCGCACCAAAAAAACATGGATATATAAGTTGGTTCTGTTATAAAAATTTTGTATATGCAACAATCCAACACTGGCTTCACTGAAAGAAAACGCAATTGAATAGCTTGGTAACATTTAAGAGTTTAGACAACACAAGGCTGATTTCTGTAGCTCCTATTTTGGCCACTTTCTCAGTTATAATCTCATGTCACTTCAAGTTGCCTCGCATGTCAGAGATTTTCCACCTTCCCTCGCGCCCCTGGAGCCTGTGGCTCTCGATACTTGCTTCCGAAAGATTTTTGACTCGCTTGACTGTTGGCTATGTTTATATATTTTCTGGAGATTTTCAAATCTATCAAAGATTTTTTAGACCTTTGGATGTTCTAGAAATTTATCGATATCAATCGTCAATCTATTTTCTGGAGATTTTCGAATCTTTCAAAGATTTTTTAGACCTTTGGATGTTCTAGATATCAATAAAACATTTTCATACAACACTTAAACCTTAGTTCCTTTTGGTACCTGAGAAAAATCACTTTCCCCACAAAGTGTGCTGAGTCATTCAGTTATTTTAGGTGCACCGACCAGTATGAATAAAATGTCCTATTACTATCCTAGTCGCGACTGAGTGATGAGTCATCAGGACCAAACAACACTGTTGCCAGACTTAGCGATTTTGGTATGCTTATCGACTTTTTTTCTCCACTTGCCCGATGGCGATTTCCAGCAACATTTTTAGCTACATTGGTAATTTCATTGAAGTTCGCTTTTTTACAGTTGAAGACTTTTCAAGTGCCGAACGCAACTAGTGATTATGCTGCGATATCTCCCCAGCCAACATCCAATGGAAGTAGGAAGCTTTTACTGTAGTCATTTTTTTGTACCGAAGCACCCGGGTCTGTATGGCAGGCACATCGCTCGGCGGCATCATGGAAGAGAACTCTGAGGAGCAAAGCCCGTTGGTGTAGTGGTAGAAGAGAACTTGATCGCCGACGGCCGCCGGTGTGAAAGAGTCCCGAGACTGTTTGTTAAAGAAGAGTCATCGATCAGTCGGACAGCCCTTCTCTGGACAACATCGAGCATAGATAATATAGTCGGGGCGGTGGCACCCCAAACGTGTGAGCAATATCCGAGGCTAGGCCTTTTCTGGGCCTTGTACAGAGTGAGAAAGTCATGCGGAAGTACTTCTTAGCTCTAATCAAATAGCTTAGCTTTTTCCCAGCAGCTACCGCTATGTACTGACAAGATGTGTTTGTGCCAGATCAAGTCCTCGGTGATCTGGACTACGACCAGCCGAAATGAACGGCTCTTTGGCAGAACCCGGCCATCCATCGGAACCGTATGAGCCCTAGGACGCTTTTTGTTCGTCGCTGTACAGTACTATGTTTTGGAAACATTGCACTGTACAAGATTGTTGTGTCCCCAAGCAGTGATAACATCCAGGTCTCTCGTCAGAGAGGAAGTCGTCGCTAATCTTCTTTTTTCCAGCTCAGCTGCAGAGATCGGCTTGTCACTCTGAATTCCTGCATGTAGAGTGCTGCCATCAGTGAAGCTGTGGATTGGGTCAGTCATGCAGAAAAGGAGGTCGTTGGTACACCCGCGTTAACCTTACGAGATAAAGAGGAGATCCTGTCAATTGCGACGGATACCTTGCGGCCAGAGAGAAAGTCAGCCACCCATCTGCAAAGCTTTTCTGGGAGGTCATGGGAAGGAATTTTGCATAAGAGGGCAGCGTGCCACGGCTGATTGAACGCTTTCGTGATATCAAGACCAACGCCATAAGCCTCACCGTAATACTGGATTAGCTTACTCCACAATTGCGTGACGTAAGCTAGGAGGTCCTCTGTGGATCGCTGGTATCGGAAACCATACTGCCTGTAGCTAGTAAAGCCGAGACGTTCGAGGTACTCTAGAAGCTCGCGATTTATGCACCTCTCATCACCTTACTTATAACAGAAAGCAGAGCTATAAGTCTGTAGTTGTAGGGGTCGGTTTTAGATTCTTATTTGGAATGGGTTGGACATGAGCAAATTTAGAGTTTTCTGGATTCATTAGATATATGGAAAAGACGCAAAAGAACTGGAGCAAGCTCCGCTGCACACCTCTTCAGTACAATGAAGTCCGAACCAGAAGCTTTGTTGGGGGTCGTCCATGGTGGAGTTGGCAGCAAAGATCTTGGCAAGTACTTCAGCCTTGGCTTTCGAGTCAGTTACAATCGTTCCATCCTGACACGTAAGTGGTGGAAGGTTACTGTGTGAGAAGATCTTCTCAATCTGCTTAGCCAGCGTCCAGTAAGACCGACTGCCATGTGGCTGCGACATTACCTTGCTAAATCAGACATATCTTTAATCATTTTCAAAGAAGTTGTACAAAGTCTTCAAATTTTTTCAAGTTAGCGAGTTTCACTTCATACGTTGTTACCAGACATGCCCAAATCATCAGTTGCTGCCGTGATATTCATTCCGACCACTGCATCCCCAGGGCTAGGCGACCTGTATGTTAAATTTGTGTTGATAGGGCAGCGGATTATGCTACAAATCTTTTATCACAGTTTTTGTGCACCGATTGCAACGGTTAGACGATACCAAAAATATTTTCATAAACAGGAGAACTTTCCCATTCCGGATCGAACTATCTACCAAAGATGGTAATAATCATGATACCTAGTAAATTTTCATGAAAAATCCGCTGTACGTAGGTATATCAGAGCTTTCTTATATTTGTTCATCAATTTGATGATACAACACATCTGCCAAAGATGATCATAATCAGGATAGTAAACTATGACGAAGATACTCCATTTGCAATTTGAAGATACAACAGACTATGATGGTGTTCACACTTTTCAAATATTCTTTAAGAAGAGATATCACTCTAGCTCCAACTATCATAAGTACTATGTGTTTCTACTTTACATTCAAAAGCAGCAAATGTGAAAGATTCATTTCGCACCGTCCACCACGGGACGTGATCGTCGTTACACTTGGCAACCCTGCGAGTGTCAAGCAGATATCCCCGTCAGTCGAAAAGGCATTCAAACAAGAAACATTGTGAATTTTTATAATTTTCGGGCATAAAAGACATTATTTGTGAGAAATTTTTTGACTATGTCCATAGTAATTGCATTATGCATCACGGAGATGTAGAAATTGACACGTCTTACATATATTATCTGTGTTTTAGGATGGAGAGGATATAATGCTTTTATTGCTTTGAAGAAATTCATCAACCTGTAAATTAATAAATTATTACTATTATGATGTAAAGGAAGATGAGGAATTCAATTCAACAGGTATATAGCTATAATGATAAAATATAAACACTCAGTATATTGAACTTAACAAATTCGAGATTGCCATGAATTAACAAACGTCTAAACCTGCTGTTAAATTTAACAGCTATAAAATCGACCTATTATTTCTCCCATTCCCATTGGCTGGGGGATAACTGATTGTCAAATGTGAATTTATAAAAGAAATCTAAATACATGAAGGTTGTTCTGTTTTCTCTGTACAAAAGCATCATGTTGTCGAATTTTCACGATTTTATTTAATATTTAATAGAAATCATTGATATTCAGAGACCTTTGACAGTTTCCGTCAAATTGCATTTCGATAAGGTATTTTCCAATTGGTCCATTGGACCGTTAAATATAAATGTTGATGAAATTGACCCGAAGACACTTTTATTTGTTCTTCGCAAATACTTTGATATAGGAATCAGTAGGCAGTACATACCTCCAATAAGGGTCTGGATTTCTTTATGGATTTTTCTGCTGGTAAGCATACATAGCTGCTGGTAGAATCCAGTATGCACGGTGTCTAGAAAAGGCACATTACTAGCGTAAAACAAAGCGCTATGCTACTGGTTCCCCAAGGCTGTCTTCTGCCGCCGTCGCTTGTCATTGTTACGGCACGGCACAGCAGCTCTATATGATACAGTGAGCAGAAACCCTTAACCTGCGACTGAAAAACTGGTCGTTACGGGAGTGCCTGCTTTCACCAGACTATGGCACACTGGGCTTCTGGAGAACGTCATTTAGTTTAAGTAAAGGTGGATGAAAACGTAAGCAGGTAATCTCTAAATCCAATTTCTGTTCATGTCAGGTGCGGGGCTACGTTGCAGATCTGGTGATAATATCTCATACTTTACTGCGCGGCACCGGCGGCAGCGAGGCTCTTCCAGATGAGTGAGCCTTAATCAGGAATTGCTCGACAATCCACCGGGCGACATTTCATTCCGTTACGTTTTCCCGATAAAGTATTTTTCATTTATCTAGTTCTTGGTCAATTCTACGACTTGCACGGTCGGTAAGCGTTTGCAGAACACTTACATTTAGTAGTATAATGTACCGCTCCTTCGCATTTGTGTCTCCCACAATATTATCGTTTAGATGTTATATGACATATAAATCACGACAAAACTATGTTACTCATTTCCGACAGTATGTCTGCCTGACTAGCTATCTGTATGTCTGCCCGCTAATTATTCACCCCTGTGTAACTCGGAAGATACTGCTCTGATCTTTCATAGACTGAGTACTGCCTCCTCCTCTGGTGTTCACTTAAGGTCGGACTTACGTTCGCGGAAAATATAAATGGATGTTTTTTTTTGTTCAAGCTGTTGTACTGACAAATCTACCAGTTAGTTACTGTGGTGGTCCACATAACACCTACATTTCTTCAGAAACAAAATAGACATGTTTAAAAAGCTGATTACATGAAACCTGAGAGGCATGGAAGAGTTAAAAGAGTTGCACTGCTCTGTTTGTGTGTGCTTTTTGCCGGTGCTGTTACTTCGTAGAGACAGACAATTATAGAAATGTTCCAGAAACCGACCATATAATTCTCTAATGGATGTTTGAAATATTTAGTCGAAAAAATGATAAATCCTCAGTTTATGTCGTATTTCGGTGCTCGGTATGGAAGCTGAGCAGTGCCCATGACTTTATTACTACTATACGCGTTATGTGTGGTTGGGTACAATTTTTTTTATACTATTCAGGGGAAGTTGTTAGAGCGGGTTCATAGAAAAAGATGCACTGTGGTTCAAGTACTATCACATTTGAAACGACCAGCTGATTAAATTAATGATTAAAAATAAAAACGAAATATCTTTGTACAATCATAAAGTGCCGCTGGTATCTAGAGCTTTTCATTACCATCATAAAGTTGAATGTATCCGGCTGGCGACATAAACTCGCTGGATTGAAAGCCATTAAATCCAGAAGCTTAAGTCAGGATGAGTCCGGATGCGAGCAAAAACCGTAATGCCACCATCACAGCGCCTAACTCCATGCGGTCAGGAGTCAACTGTCCACTGACGACTCACGCACAGACACGTGGATTATCTAAAGTATACAGACAAGTAAGAGTGAAATCACTTAATGAAAAACATTTTTTATTTTTGTCTCGCGAAAGGCGACACCAACTAAGATATATATTGTAGTAACTGAGGGTGTGAACCAAACACCATTTACTTCATAACTGGTTTATTTCTGGTCGAGTCGAGGTCGACCCACTAGTTGACAAAAGACATACAAACATAAATACGAGTTATTCCTAAACTCTACACCTTCACCCTTATTCCAAAAATACACATTTCCCGTATACAAATAAACAACAAATATTCAAAACAAAATCACATCTCTATACTTATTAAAAGTCGACTAGAAGGAAAGAAATAACAGGTAAATTCACCAGCGGTTAAAAAAAAGCAGAGTTATTTTCTTGGCCGTGAATTATACCTAGGAGCCACATGGGTACGACGTAAAATGTTTATATTTTCACCAGATGCCATGGAACTAGATTCTTCTGTGTTTATCTCTGATGGAACTGATAGGTTGGCTGGCGCACTCAGTCTTTTTTTACGAAGCTGGTCGCTGTGTCTTTTTACGATGGTATTGTTAGGAGTTTCTACCTCAAACACAGAATAACCTAACTGGCTTTTTACAGTACCCGGAAACCACACATTTTCATTTGGTTTAGAATAGTCTCTATAATGTACTCTATCACCCACCTCAAGTAATTTTGAATAGCCTCCATAGTGTTGAATTTGGTTTTCCGTTATTTGTTCAACCACTATTCTATTATTGGGCCTTAGTAAATCTAAACGGGTTTTCAAATTTCTGCCAAACATCAGTCGTGCCGGACTATAGCCAGTAGTGGCGTGCTCTGCATTTCTATATTGTAGCAAAAAGCCTAACAAAGCATTATCTAAATTTTTGTTTTCCATATTTGCTTTTTTAACACAGATTTAATAAGTTTGTAATTTTCAGCCTGCCCATTGCTAGCAGGATGGTATGGAGGGGACTGTATAGCTCGAATACCGTTTTTTTGTAAGTAGTTTGAAAATTCTGTCGACACAAGTAGAGGTTCATTATCAGAAATAATTGTGTCGGGTAGCCCCATTCTTGAAAATAACGTAGCTAATACTCTAATAACATTGCGAGAATTGACAGTTTGCATTTTAAATACCTCTAACCACTTTGTAAATGAGTCAATAATAATCAAGTATTTGTCTCCAAATATGGGACCTAAAAAATCTAAGTGGATCCTAGACCAAGGATACTGACTTCTGGGCCACGGAGTGAGTGGAGTTTTTGGTGGATTAGTACGCACTGTATTGCATATTGAGCACGAGCTACACATGAGCTCCACAGCTTCATCTATTTTGGGCCACATATGACCTAGCCAATGATTTGCATTTATTCATACCCAGATGTATGCTGTGTAGTTCATCGAGGACATATGGTCGCAACTTGCCCGGAACCACGGCTCGTATGCCCCTCTCTAAATGCAACTCATCTCTTTTAACATAAAAGTCTGTCAATTCCTTTGGGACCCCATTATCTGGCCAGTCTGTTAGACAATACATATAAACTTTATTAAGAGTAACGTCTTTTTTTGTTTCAATGGCTACTTACTTAAAACTAAATGGAGTATTATTTTCTAAATAAAATACATGACTTAAATCTACATAGTCCATCTTACTAGCTGTGCTTTCATCTGGTAAGCGAGATAAGCCGTCGGCATTTCCATTTTCTGTTCTTTTTACATATTTAATATCGTAGTCGTATGACAAGATAATGCTCTAACGCTGTAAGCGACTAGCTGCATATAATGGAATTCCTCTTTTTGCACCAAAAATTGTCACCAGAGGTTTATGATCCGTGAAATGGCGGCCGTATAAATACTGATTGAATTTTTTTAACCCAAAAATTATTGCACATGCTTTCCTGTCAATGCAAGAATAATTTTTCTCAGATGGAGTCAAGATTCTTGAAGCATAAGCAATTGGTCGGCTATCACCATTTGGAAAAAAGCATGTGAAATCACGGCGGAATTTCCATAAGCACTAGCGTCGCAAGCTAGCGTTACAGTTTTATTGGGATCATAATGAACCAGTACTCCAGATGAAATCAAATTCCTTTTTCTGTTATTGAAAGCCTTCTTATGGATACGGGACCAAAAGAAATGCTGGTTTTTCCTTGGCAGCTGATAAAGTGGTTGCAATTTAGAGCTTATGTCTGGTATGAATTCAGCATAATAATTTACCAAGCCTAAAAAGGCCTTAACTTGTCACATTTGTGGGCGTTTTCATATTAACAATTGCTTCTATTTTTTGTTTATTGGTATATAAACCATCTTTGTTGACTGTATAGCCCAAGTAGTCCAATTTTCGCATTCCAAAATGGCACTTCTCGAGATGAACAGTCAAATTGTATTTACTTAACTTCTCGAAAATCTTTACCAAGATTTGAAGGTGTTTCTCTTCGTTTTCAGTAGTTACTAGAATATCGTCGAGAAATACAGCTACCCCTTCTAAATTGTTAAAAAGCTGCTCCACCATTTTCCAGAAGATGCCTGGACTCGAAGACACTCCATATGGCAGTCGATTATATTGAAAAAGCCCTTTATGTGTGTTTATTGTTACCAGTTTTTTTGATTCGTCGTCTAAAGGCATTTGAGCTTACGCCTGTGACAGATCAATCTTACTAAAAACAGAGCAGTTTTTTACAATACTTAGTAAATCTTCAATTCTTGGTAAAGGGTATTTCGTAATGTGTAATTTGGGGTTTAAGGTCGCCACAAATTCGTACATCACCATTCTTTTTTAAAACGGGCACTATGGGTATAGCCCAGTCGCTAAATTCAATGGGTGTTAAAATACCAGCCTTAGTTAAATCTTTAAGTTCTGTTTAGACTTTGCTTTGAGAGCTATAGGTAGCGATCTAGGATTGCAATAAACGGGAAATGAATTTTCTTTTACATACAATTTAGCGCAATCGCCATTAAAGCAACCGATGTCATCTCGAAACACCTCCGGAAATTTATTTCTCAATAGTTTTGATGCCCTCATTGAGAAATGCGTCCAATCAATATGAAACAAATTGTCTAGAGATATATTTAACTTCTTAATCCAATCGCGACCGACTAAAGGTGGTCCGTGACCCTTCAATACATACAATTGCAAATTTTCAGGATTTGAACTATGTTCAATCCTTACATTTACCTTGATAAATCCTAAAATTTCTAGTACATTCCCAGAATAAGATATCAATTTAAAATCGCTTTCCATCATTGACATAGATGAAAAGTTTTTATAATATTCTGCCTCAGATATGACATAATAGGCTGATCCGGTGTCAATTTCCATATATATAACCACATGATTGATATTTAAGTGAATTCTTAGCTGTTTCTCGTAGTTATTTAGAATTTTGAAAATATCTTTTGAGATAGTTAAATCAGCTACCTCACTTACGTCGCTATCAGAGGTTTCATCTGCATCAAGATGGTGCATGACTCCTTGTTTTGCATTTTCATTTCTATGTTTACCGAAACTATGGTTGAATTTCGCGCACACTTCACTGACATGCCCCACTATACCGCACCTGTGACATTTCGATTTCCGAAAGAAACATCGGATATCTTCGTGGTTTGATTTCCCACAATGGCGGCAACAGCTGGAACGTGGCCCATGGTTACGCTGCCCTCTGCTCGAAACTTTGTGAACTGCTACCATCGCCATCGACGAAGACTTTGCTTCCTCCACCATGAGAGAATTTTTCTCTGCGGCCTCCATGTTTAAGGCAATCCTTACTGCTTTAATGTAATTTAAATCTTTCTCGGTGAAAAGTTGTTGACGAATGCTGTCACTTCGGAGGCCATATAGGAATTGATCAGTTAAGTGGTCTTCCAAACTGTCCCCAAACTGGCATGTTTTAGCTAATTTTTTAAGTGCAGCTAAATGTTGCGCTAAAGATTCGCCGGGCTCTTGCTTGCGTAATCTTAATTTGAATCTTTCTGCTCTTTTGGACGGCTCTGGGTGGAGATGATTTTTAACTAACCTGATCAATGCCTCGTAGGTTATTTCCTCCGGTTTGTCCGGGTTACACAAATCGATCATCAGCTCGAACATTTATTTCCCGATCACAGCCAACAGTGTATTTACTTTCAATTCTTCTTCGATTTTATTAGCAATGAAGTACTGCTCAAATCTGGAAATGTTGATATTCCAGTTCGACACACTTAACTTAAACTCCGACATTTGTCCGATCGACATTTTATTGTTCAATTGGCGTACAACTGCGAACGCAAAAAAAATCACGCTCAACTATGTCCGTAAAATATTTAACTTTTCCTCGTCGCCAGTGTACTAACTGGGGGTGCGAACCAAAAACCATTTAATTCATAACTGGTTTATTTCTGGTCGAGTCAAGGTCGACCCACTAGTTGACAAAAAACATACAAACATAAATACGAGTTATTCCTAAACTCTCGCTCTCTCTCTATATATATATATACAGGGTGACTTCGAAGTTGAGTCATTTATTTTAACAGTGAGTAGATCTGATCAAAAGAAATGTTTTTTCCTTTACCATTTTTCTGGTAAAATTAAAGTAACAAAGTTATAGCCCTTTGGAAGTTTGAGTACCGCCCTGTCTCAATAATAATATCATGTACTCGTGTTTGGCAACAACGGATATAATCCACCTTATCGGTTCATCGCATGGGAAACAAAAAAGCGAAAGAATTTGGAACGACGTTTTTATTTCATTCAGTTAATGCCTTTGTTAATGCAGTACAACGGGCTCGTGAATCAGGTGACTTAAGACCTCACAGGGCACCTCACGATCAAATACAGGTCCGCACTGAAATACTTGTTGGGAGGATACTTTATAAAACAAGGTAAAAAAATTTTTTTATTTTTTTTTTATTTGTACACACATATTTTGGTTTATCTTCCTTCTACAATCATTATCTGAAAATTAATGACTCAACTTCAAAGTCACCCTGTATATATATGTATATATAGGTAGCACTATAGTATCCGACTGTAGGTAGATTCGCTTCCAAATAAAAACTGTTGAAGCCTCAGAATAGTCGTTAAGACTGATGAAAGGTTTCAGTGGATTATGATCGATCCATTCATCTATTCAATAGCTACACTCCTGAATTGAATTTTTCATTATGGTTAAGGGTATGGCCAAATTTATTAACATCATACGAAGTATTTCCGTTGTTTGTAAATAATTCAAATTATTGCATATTTAATATAAATATCGCTCGTTAATATCTGAGAGAAACTTCACCCAAGGTAGTTAGGCGGACAACTTGCAAAAGTTTGCTGAATTAACTTCTTATCCTTCTTATTCACACTAATTTAGCGTATGCTGTTGATCTGCGAATATTTAATTTTTATGTACATGTTTTCGCCTCATTATTTTAATAGTCCTTCTGTAATGTCTGGTCTTGATATCGTTCGTGATAGAACAAATATGATAAAATTTCGCCTTACTTTGATGACTTTTTTGATCTACAGTGACAATAATAATCTTCTCATGAGCTAAATGTTGTTTTTGAGCGATGGTCCATTTTAATATAGATGGCACTGAGATCTTTCAGATGCATTTCGTAACACCATATAGTTGTCTCCCCAGATATATTACTTTTTTAACGATTTAAGTCAATTCTGAGTAATCAAATTCATGAATGAATATTATGTTTTAGCGTAAAAGTGGCGGTTGAAAATTTTGACTCCATTTGAAGCTCTTTATAACCCTAGATCACTAAATATCTATTTTTCGAAATGGCTGACTGGCAAGCTGTTAAAGCTGAGCGTTTTTGTACATACGACCAATGATCACAGCCTCTATTGGTATGTTCTATGTATCTCCTTCTCTGGGAAAGGCCTACCCGAATATCTAGTTAAATATGGGAAATTTCATTTAAAAAGTGTATAAATTTTGTTACATATTCAAACCTTTCCAAAAGAAGGAGATTTACACATACAATAACGTTCTGATAACTAGTTACTAAAGGCTACTATAAAAGTTTTGCAATATGACTTAACAAACGGGCGCAGCAGGCTGCATGTTTCGGCATATCCATGGGTGCATAGTAGCCTCCAGCAGCACGTCTGTTGATTTAGTTGTTTATTCGTATTGAGTGAGCGGACTATGGCATCGTGGTCACGTAGTGAGAAAAGAATGATTGTCCTCATCGTGGTACAGATAATTCCAACAGAGGAAAACATTACTACTGTGAGGAAAATGCTTGACGAAGACCAGACAGTGACATACCAATAGATAGAGGAGACCTTACACCTTCATGCACCAGGAATTCATTCAATTCTGCATGACCATTTGCACGTAAGGAAACTGTTATTACGATGTGCCGATCAAGGCTCAAAACAAAGTTTGGGTCTTTGGTGATGAGGACTCCCGTAGCTGTCAAAAAATCCCGATCCATTAGGAAAAAAATGATAGCTGTATTTTTCAAACCGAGCGGGATTGTGGAGCGTGTCGTTTAGGACATACAGTCACAGCTTAGTGGTACACGGAACAGTGCCTGCCTAAAGTCATAGAGCCTATGAAAAACCTGCGGCCAAAGTCTAGAATAGACACTTGATTCCTCCACCATGACAACGCTCCAGCTCACTGCACCAAAGCCTGCACCGAGTGTTTGATCACTACTGGACTGAAACTTACTGACCTGATCTTGCTCCCTGCGACTTTGCACTGTTTCTGCATGTGAAAATGATGCTAACAAGAAAACGGAGGACCTTCTGAGGGCTTGGTACAACGAGTGTGCTGCACTCCCGGGTGAAACTTAGCAGAGTTGGTTTAAGGGCTGCCTTTGACAGATGGTGAAGTGTATTGAATCTGGTGGGAATTACTTTGAACGAAGTCAATAAGTAAATCTGTATTGCAAAATCTTTATAGTACCCTTCGTCATATTTATTAGCGTACTCCAACTAAGTCTAGAGAATAGCTCAACTTTGACAGCTTGTCGGCCCGCTATTTTGAGAGACAGTGATTTTATATTCCAAGTTTATAAAGTACTGACAAGAAGCTTCAGCATAAGATCACGTGACACCTCATTTCCCCAGCCGCTACCTTGAAAATTAAAATTATTATCTTTACGTCAGAATATAGTGTGCATGCGTTAATTTCATCTTTCCAAGTATCATCTTGCTGATTTGACCCGTTCAAAATATAAAGAGGGAGGCCTTTCTGAAAAAAAAGCATGTTTTGTTAAAATCAAAAGTCACGGACTTATCAATCTCGTTCCAAACTAAAGGAGCATGTGGACGTAAAAGGAACCCAATCTATTTCATTGATATAATTATTATTAATAGTTAAATATCTCGCAACGAAGTTATAACAGTTGCTCAGACTCCTTGAAGTAGCAGTTGGATGAAATTTCCATAGCAAACTTTTATTTCAGATCAATTCAGAGTTTCCCCGGATTGTATAAGTAGCGAATTCCAAGTAAAGGATAATTAATTGAGGAAGTTTCTTGGTATTGTTTAAGATGCACGATTTTTGGTTTAGTGTCTTCAAATGGATATTATTCACGGAGTTTGGAAGATTTCCCATGGAAGGGGTACATGAGAGTATCTGGCTTTTCAAGGCCGCTGAAGTGAAATATCGTATAAACGCGCTGTCAGAATATATAATAATTATTATAGCACTAATAATATAATAATAATAATATAATATAGTCAACGCCAAACAAAGTGGCGTGCACGTCATCACGATAAAAATTCCCCGACCTAATGCCTAGGTTTCTATCACAAACAATTGCTCTATTGCAGTTTCATATTAATGTGATATATAAATTGTAAAATGGTCATTACTCTCTTATTATGGTTAATAGTCATATAAACATTGTTATTAAAATATCACATAAGTTGCTTTCTGATAAATTTAGACGCATTATGCGAAATTAAATGTTTTGCAAACGCTCCAATCACTTATCGACATGTAAACGCACTAAACCGATTTCGCAGCGTTGACACATTGTCACCTTGAAACTTATTTAAACTGGGAACTGACATTTGTATTAATTTTGACACTGAATCAATTTGTGGCATTTCAAATCTTTATAAATCCTTTGGCCCCGCATACTGTAAATCAACAACTGTTTGTTTCAAAACAAAATTATTCATTTTACGAGTAGATAAAGGCAATTTTGGTATATAAAGATGCCCAAACAGTTAAATAGTCGGTGTAAGGAACTCGTGGCCTCGTTAATGCACTACTTTGAGCAAGAAAGGGACAACAACGGGCCTTTGTTGCCTTTAAATGCTGTTCAAGAGGTAGGTTACTAATAATTATATGTAATGTATATTAATAATAGTGAAATTTTATTTCATTTTTTGTAGCGTGTTGCTGCTGCTTTAAAAATTAGTTTAAGGACAGTTAGTCGTATTTCCGAGGGTGTGAAAAGTGATGCAAATTTAGAATCGCCCAAGAAAAAGCGGAGTTATATTAAACGTGTAACCAACACAGCGACATTGGATACAAGTGCCATTCGAGAAGTGATCTATAATATGTATCACAAAACTAAGATCTTATTATAATAACTTATCAGAAATTTGCATTAATTTGTTAACTAAATTACAATGTCATATTACACATGGTTTCAGAAGAACAAGTTACGATACAAACTTTATGGTCTCGATTAAGAGATAGGGCATTATTTGATGGTAGTGCCACGTCTTTAAGGCGGTTGCTTAGAGATCTTGGATTTAAGTGGCTTAAGGACAATCCGCGACGAGGGCTCATGGAACTACCAAGTATAGCTTTGAAAAGGGTGGAATTTCTAAGGCAATACAATCAAGCCAAGGTGAGGCCTTATACCAGTTTGTCTTCCTCGATGAAACTTGGATATTTCAAAATGGGACCATAGGTCGCTCTTGGCAAAATGGAAACCAAAAAAGCGTGAAAGCTATTAAAACAGATGGTAAAAGGTATGTACTTTTACACAATTTGCACTATAAAATTTAAAACTAATATATTTTAGATACATTATATTACATGCTGGAAATGAAAACGGGTTTATTGAGGGTAGTGAAGCGATATTTTCTTCGAAAACAAAATTGAGCGATTACCATGGAGAGATGAACCAGGA